ATATATATATATATATATGATTATTTTATATACACATTTCAGATAGTTTTTAATTTCTTTTTTCTTTTTAAACGTTATTAAGTTAATTTTAAACTAATGTAAGTAAAAAAAAATTGGATGCGTAGGTAACGAAAGTTTGTGCTTTGACGAAAGATTTTCAACAACTTCCTTATGGTGACATGAGTAATGTAGGAGAAGGTGGATCTTCTTTATCCGGAGGACAAAAGGCACGAGTAAATTTAGCACGGGCTGTTTACAAAAAAGCTGATATATATTTATTCGACGATCCTCTGAGCGCAGTGGATTCGCGTGTGGCTAAACATCTTTTTTATAGATGTATTAAAAATTATCTTCAAGGAAAGACAAGAATTTTATGTACTCATCAATTACAGTTTATTAAAGAGGCAGACAAAATTGCAGTATTGGATAAAGTAAATTGAATTTAATTATTAAAGATTGAGGATAAATGTGCAATTTTATATTTCAAAATGCAAAAGATTTTTTAAATTCTTCCAAGAAACTTTTTATAAAAAAAGCTAATACTCTTTCGTATTCTCTAAGGGCTCTATAGCAATGTACGGAACTTACGAGGATTTATTCAGATCGAATGAAAATTTCATAGATATGATAAACGTAATTAAATCATCTGCAGAGATTAAAATACAAAACGAAAATGTCGAATCTTTTAAAAATACCTCTACAAAAAGGAAATCCAGCAAGACAATTGTCCGCAGATTATCTTCTATAAAGTCTACTACCAGTAGCATGGTAATCATAACCTATATTTTCGCAACATTGAACGTTAATTCTTTTAATTTTTTCAATATAAATCATTTTTAGAATTCGTATAATTATGAAAACGAAGAATTAGCACCAGATAATGATGAAATAATGACAACTAACCATTCTTCTAGTAAAATCTTGAGACAATACTTCCGATATGGCGGTTCTTGTTGTACGATAGTTGCTTTAATATTTATCACTCTCGTAGCTCAAGTAACAGTCAATGGAAATGATTATTGGGTTTCCTACTGGACAAATATCGAATCTATAAGAATGGCTTTGGCGAATAATACTCGTCTATCGAAAAATCAATATTCTTCTTATATATTGAACGATACTTTTTTATCAAATGTGTTTAGTTTGGATAAGTACGGACTCATAACTACTATTGACGCAATATATGTATATACATTTTGCATCATTATATGCATTGTAACAGTATTCGTAAGGAATATGTTCTTCATCAAAGTCTGCGCGAACGCTAGTAAAAATCTTCACAATTCCATGTTTCACAACATATTGCAAACAACGATGAATTTCTTTCATTATAATGCTTCCGGTAAATATCATTCTTAAAATATCTTTTTACATCGCGCAAGTTTTATATTATTTAATTATTAATAATTTCATTATTCGATTTCCATAGGTAGAATTGTAAATAGATTTTCCAAGGATTTGGGTGTCGTGGATGAAGTATTACCAAGAGTGATGTTGGAAAGCATACAAATATTTTTAGTGATAATAGGTATCCTTATTATCGTAATGATAATGAATTATTGGATGGTTATTCCAATAGCGATACTTGTTACTGTCTTTTACTTTGTAAGGATCTCGTATCTTCGAACTGCCAATGGTGTTAAACGTCTTGAGGGTGTAGGCAAGTATACCGTGGCAAGAAAAAGACTTAAAAGAAATGATATTTTTTTATAATAAAAATTTTTTAATAAAAATTCATTTTAAGAGGGTTAAACTTACAGCAAAAAGTCCAGTGTTTTCTCACGTGAATGCTACATTAAGTGGATTGTCCACTATCAGAAGCAGTGGATCAAACGTTATAGAATTATTACAAAAACAATTCGATCATTTGCAAGATGTGCACACCGGTGTATGGTATATCATATTAGTTGTTCCCGTAGCTTTCGGTCTATTCATAGATTTCGTCACGTGTATGTTTATCGCATGTGTCTGTTTTTCCTTTATTTCAATAGAAACAGGTATCTTTTATTTTCAAACATACTTGATGCATATACATTTTTTTTTCAATGTTTTTTCTAAATGGTGATTTCTGATAATACTAGATAATACTCTTGGAGGTAATGTTGGTATAGCTATATCTCAATCATTAATTATAATCGGTTGTTTGCAATACGGATTGAAACAATTGGGCGAAACGATATCTCAGTTGACGTCTGTAGAAAGAATTGTACAATATACCAATTTGCCAAAAGAAGCCTCATGGACAAGTAACGATCCTCCTCCAATAAATTGGCCGGAAAATGGTCAATTGACTTTGAAAAATGTTTACATGAAATATGACCAGAACGAAGCTCCTGTATTAAAAGTAATGAAACAAAAATAATAATTGTGCAAAAATTATTGAATATTTTATAGAAAATTATTAATAGAACATCTTCATTTTTTATATAGAATCTAAACGTGACCATAGAAGCAGGCTGGAAAGTTGGCATTGTAGGTAGAACTGGTGCAGGGAAATCATCCATAATATCAGCACTTTTTCGGTTATTCGACGAATGTTTGCAAGGAGAGATTAAAATTGATGGAAGAGATACCAGAACGTTAGGTTTGCAAGAATTACGCTCACGAATATCTATTATTCCCCAGGAACCATTTTTGTTTTCTGAAACATTACGCTACAATTTGGACCCGTTTAAAAACTTTGATGACGCGCTATTGTGGAATACTCTTCGAGAAGTTGAATTAAATGATCTTAAATTGGATCAAACATTAATGCATGGAGGGAATAATTTAAGTATTGGACAAAAACAATTGATATGCTTGGCTCGAGCAATTTTAAAGAACAATCGATTATTAGTTTTGGATGAAGCTACAGCTAATATTGACAATTAGTAATTTGAATTACTTTTTCTAACTTTTATGTTTATTAAAAATATATATATATTTAAAAACAATTTTTTTTAGCACGGATGAACTAATTCAAAAAACTATAAGAATGAAATTTGTAAACTGTACTGTTATTACGATTGCTCATCGGATAAATACTATTATTGACAGTGACAGAATTATAGTGATGGACTCTGGTAAAATAGCGGTATGATTTTATATTTATTATTATAAATAATTTATTATTAATTTTGCGCATGCAATAATTTATTTACATTTATAAAAAACATATTTAACATTTTTTTATAGATCAAAAATTTTATATTTTTTTTCTGACCAATAGCTATTTTTTTTTTTTATACATTATGTAGTAAACTAGCTCTTCTAATCTGTAAAAAAAAATTCAAATCGTTTGTTCCAATTATAGAAAAATTATTGCGTTTCAAAAGATAGCCGATTTTCATTATGAATTATTGTACGTAATATTGCATATTATATTGTTATCAATATTAATCGTACATATACATATAAAATATGTATATGTAATAATAATCAGAAAAGAAATTCATTTCTAAAATATAAATGTGTATATATTATATATTATATAAAGTTTTTGTATTGAAATAGGAATTCGGCTGTCCATACGAATTATTACGAGATAATCCAAATGGAATTTTCTCGCAAATGATCAACAATACAGGCGTATTTATGGCGCAATCTCTTCGTGATCAGGCGGAAAATGCGTATTTGAAAAAAACTAAAAGAACAAGTTTGGACGTTATACAAACATGCCCTGCGGAAGATAATGTCACAAATGATATAATCGCGCAGAGCTCTCTTTAATATTAGCTTTAAAATTAGAAAAATGTGATAAACGGAATATTAATTTTGTGTTTAATAATATGATTAATAATCTGAGGATAAATTAGTAGTAAAATTTAAAAAAACGGTTATAAATTTTTTGCATTTATTAAAATTGAAAGTATCAATACAAACGAGTATTTGAAAAAAAATTAAAAATTCTATCTACAACCTTCAAACCTATATTCCTAATATTTGCTTGTCAACACATTAATTTTGTCATACGAATAACTATTTATGAATTGTAGCTATATCATCAAAGAATTAATGATTCAAAAAAAGTTTAAAATAAAAAAAATTTAGTTGTGTAAAATATAAATTTATGGGTATGATAAAATAAATTTTTATGAAGAAGGAAAATTTTAACGCTTTACAATCATTTTATATCTTCTTCTATTTTAATGTATTTTAATTATATTTTTTTATTGAAAAAATGATAAAACTTGTAGCAAGAAATTACGTACACGTTTTTCCTTAAAAAAAATTTATAAATAAAATAATGAGAAAAATAAAACAAAAAAAATTTTAGAATATATTGATTGATAAAGTTATCATTTTTTCTACATATATTTTGGCATCTATTCCTGTGATTAAAAGTGTAATATTGATAATATCTCTTTTTATTTCTAAACGAGATTATGAACGATATCATGTCGCTCTTACATTGTAAAAGGCAATAAGTTCTATACTCTATTTTCAAGAGTAGATCTCTTAATAATAGATCAACTTGTGTTTTTTTTTTTATTCTATAAATATGTTTTAAACGAATACGTACATAATCTGGATATAAGTCTTAAATTTAATTCTGCATATAAATCTTATTTAATTGAATTTTTTTCCTTTTTAAGTAAATTCGTTACTAAAGTAGAATCTAGAACAAGTAGTTTTTTTCTCTCTTCATAAAACGTATTTCTCTCAAAACTCTAAATTGTTTATTTAGATTAGAATAATTTAAAGGGAAAACAATTTATTATTGAATTCCCAAAAAAGTTTTTTCTAATACTCACTACTTATATTGAGCTACATGGCCTGTATAAATCAATTTATCCAATTCAAATATCCAAATATAAAATTAAAACATAACCTATATAAATTTTGAAGTTATTTATATGAAACAATAAAAACAGAATTTACAAAATAAAATTATGTTAATTTACATATATATACAATAACATATTTTCAATATAAATATGAAACATGTAATTATATATTATCGAATAATTTATTTTTTTTAATTCAACAAGAAAATATTTAAAATTTAAAACAGTCTATTATTTTTTTATTTTGAATAAAATGAAATATTATCAGATATCAGAATTGGAAATATTTTAAACGAACCATGGTATATACATTCTTATACAAATATTATTATAAGCACGGAAGTTTATCTTTTATATTGAATCTATTTCACAATTTCGAAATTCTTCACCTGTTAAGATCATACTTTCTTAGATTTATAGGAAGTATGATTTACAATAAAAATATTTTTTTTATTGTGAAGTATTTATAAAAACTTTATCTTTAAAAATGTCCTGATTATTTAAATAATGAAAAAAATTAATTTTGAAAGGAATTCATTATGTATAATGTGATAGATCTCAAATATTAGATACTTCATTTCTAATTTGTATGTACGTTTTCTAAAGACTAAATACATAATACATTAATATTCATTTCCGAATAGCATTTATCATACATTTTATTTTCTTTATTTTTTTCGTTATTTTTAATGACTGTATCTAGCATCTATCTTAC